GTCTTATGAACATGCCTTTCGATGTTAGTGAACATTGCATGAAGTAAAAATTTATTTTTTAAAAAGTGACATTTTTTATTTTATTTGAAATGTACGCTGAGTTTGTTGGAGAAGACCGTTGGGAAACTTGTTTGTTAGATGAGAAATATGAAATTCACTGTTGTGAGTCATTTGAAGTCAGAAACAAAAAGACAAAAAGAGTTTTAAGCGAATGGGAGCGAAATAACGGATATGCTATTATGAAGATGGGTGGAAAACACTATTTTAAACATGTTGTCATTGCAACTCATTTTATACTGAATCCTAACAATTTACCTTTTGTAGACCATATAAACCGTATAAGAAACGACAATAGACTTGAAAACTTACGTTGGGTCACTTGTTCTGAAAACAATAAGAACAAAGGCAAATTTGGAGATATTGTATTCGAATTTGTCGACGAACTATAGAAGATGAAACAATTGAAATTACAGACTATGGCAAGCATACGTTTGAGTTTTACTACTATAGCGAAGAACAAGACTCTTTCTACTTTTATACCGGCGTAAACTATAGGAAATTACAAGTATATTTTACTAAGGCAGGCTATGCTTATGTAAACACTAGAGATACAGATGGAAAAAACGTTCAAATACTTCTTAACAAATTCAAGAAGCTATATGGCATACTATTTTAAAACAATATATTTTTACATATATTAAATGCTTCAGGTTGAAAAACAAAGAACAAAAGTAGCAGATACAAAACCGTTAGACTATATCTTTACAAATGCTGGTAGGACTATTTCAGATGAAGAAATTTCATCCCGAATATACAGGTTTGACTATCCAATTCGTTGGCTTCAAAGTCCTTCAGATGCAAAGGCAATAGGATTTAGAAGAGTTTTGTTTTCAAATAGAACTAACGCATTTATGTTCGCAGTATATTTTCATGGGCAGTATAAAGGTTCTGATGGTCTAATAGACAAATTTGACGAAATGAGAATCTTTACAATTCGTTCAGACGAAAGTCTTGAAAAAACTCTAAATGACTTTCAAACTCAAATGAACAAATATTATTGGGAATTTCAAGAAAAATACGACTCTTTACTAAATGGAACATACTATCTGAAACTAGAATATGACAAGATGAACTCCACCGTTTCATTTCAAAAGATTGAAATTAACCCTCCAAGAGGTACAGAGTTTTTATTTTGGGAAGTAGACAAACGTTCTTGGGCACAATTTCTTCGGTTACTAAACCAGAACGAACCATTACCACCAGATGGTCCATTTAAATTTATACTTCCACCAGCAGATTTGACAGTTTATAGAAACGTGTTTGACCCTCAAAATGTTATGTGTCATGCAAGTTTCAGTTCAAGCAACAATAGTTTTCTATGTATTGGTAAGGACTTTTATGACTTTGCTTCTAAATTCTACGAACCACCTAGTAACAGTTTCTCTGACTTTCAAGTTTGGTTCACAACAAATGGTGTGCAACATATTATTCCATTGTACTATGACTTTTATCTCGAATTGTCTTTCATATATAACTACGGAAAAGTGCTGAAAAAGTATTGAATGTGAAGATATTAGAAAATAACATTTTTTCTAACATCGTAGAAAACTCATGAAAACAATTTATTTTTGACACTTTCACAAAAAACATAAAAGCTCTCATCTAATGGCTCGATGTTGTCCATTGTTCTGTTTCAGAACTAGTCTTGTACTGTTTTCAGAACTAGTCTTGTACTGTTTCAGAACAATATTTGTACTGTTTCAGAACAAGACTTGTACTTTTTCAGAACAAATTTCCCGTCAAAGCTCTCAATTTGTGAGAAAAATTTTCTGTTTCAGAACAATATTTGTACTGTTTCAGAACAAGACTTGCACTACTTCAGAACAATATTTGTACTGTTTCAGAACAATACTTGTACTGTTTCAGAACAATACTTGTACTGTTTCAGAACAAGACTTGCACTACTTCAGAACAATATTTGTACTGTTTCAGAACAATATTTGTACTGTTTCAGAACAATATTTGTACTGTTTCAGAACAATGTCCGACGTACCACCAACCCAGTCTATTCCCAAACCAAATCGAAGAGAGACCAAGAGTTCGAAGAAGGTCTGAACCGTTTACGCAAAGAGTATGCTACAGCTCCAATTGAGAGAAAGTTGTTCCCGGACCCAAAAATATAATTTAGGGTAGATGGTTAGATCTAACCTGTCTTCTACCCTCTTTTCTAACCTCTTGAATTTTCATGACTTCTTCGTAAATGTTTTGTCAAGACTTCTTCGTAAAATGTTTTGTCAAGACTTCTTCGTACATGTTTTGTCAAGACTTCTTCGTAAATGTTTTGTCAAGACTTCATCGTAATGAGTGTAAATCAGACAAAAATATAATTTAGGGTAGAAGGTTAGATCTAACCTTTTTTCTACCCTCTTTTCTAACCTCTTGAATTTTCATGACTTCTTCGTAAATGTTTTGTCAAGACTTCTTCGTAATGAGTGTAAAGGACCCAAAAATATAATTTAGGGTAGAAGGTTAGATCTACCCTCCTTTCTACCCTCTTTTCTACCCTCTTGAATTTTCATGAATTTTCCCGAAATAAAAAATAAAGTTAGTTTTATTTTTATTTATTTTTTTATTTTGTATAAAAGATATGATTTCAACAATCGGCACAACAACACTTCAAACAACAACAGCACCAAACTCGTTAGTCATGAATCCAACATCTATGTTAGTAGAGATGAAAAACTTCATTCCTTCTTCATATACTTTCGAAACAAAAATCCAGAAGATAAAGCAAGAACTTTTAACAAGTAATTTAGACTGTAGTGCGAAAGATGAAGAAAATGAAGAATATCTTTATGAAATGCAGGACATTATTGACCATTTACCCAAATTGCCTGAAATCCAACAACAAAAACTCACTATTCCTGAATTCGACGAAATTGAAGTGAAACCAACTGACTCAGTAGAAATAAAGAAGTTCATACGTAAGGTAAATTATGAGTTTCTAGGATTTCATTGCAACCATAAAGTTATGGACAAAGATTGCGACATGGTTTATAAAAATATTTCTGACATATATAAATCTGGGGAGTTTAAGACCTACGACAACTTTGTTTCGTTAGTTGCTGAATGTGTTTGGGAAATAAGAGATAAAGATAGAAGAGGCAAAGTATGGAACGAACAAATAAGACCCGCTATGTTTGAGATGAAGAGAGCAATTGACGCCTTAGTTGTTTTAGCAGGTAAGGTTTCAGAATATAACGCAAAAATGAACCCACAATGTTCTAAATGTAAAGCAGCAATGAGGAAATATAACTACTCAGTCAAAGAGATAGAAAGAATGCGAAACGACTATGCAGACTTAAAGAAAGAAGCAGAGAAGCCGGTAGAAAATAAAATGGACATGTTAGAATTTCTGAACAAAAACTATCCAACTGCTGACGATTTCCTATTATCTGACGTCAAGAAGAAGTATAAAGAAACTTTCGGCATAGTTAAAACATTCGATGTACTAAAAGAAGAAATAGAAGCTACAAAACTGTTTAGGATTTCAAATATACATCGTACAATTCATGTAAAACGCTTGTGAAAAAACAGGTGAGAAAACGGGTGAAAAAACGGGTGAGATCTCACCTCTTCACCTAAACATTATTTTTACTGAATTCAGCAACAAAATTCTGAGTAAAATGGCATAAGATTGCTTCCCTCGGAAAACCGAGAGAAGACTTACCGCTACTGAAAGAAAAAATAACAGAGTATTTTGACAACTTCAAACAAGCAGAGTAAATGAACCATTTATTTTTATTGACTTTTTACAATTTGAACTTTGTTTGCGTAGATATGAATTCTGAAAGAAGTATGAGGGTCTTGTATGACTTTGTACTTCTCCCATAGTTCATGTCTGTCAAACTTACCTGCCATGGACTCTTTCATAAGTTCCATGAAATCGTCTTCGGACAATCCGGGGAAAAGTATAATGTCAGTAAGTATTCTTTTAACATCCTTACTTAAACTCTTTGCTGTCTGTACACATATTACGACTGAGATGTTAAAGTGTCTGAGCTTCTTAAGAATTCGACACATGTCTTGTTCTCTGTTCTTTAACAAAGGATGAGAAGCAAAGTCATCTAAGATAAGAAGACATCTATGAGGGTATGTCTTCCAATCGTAAGATTGCAATTTCTTCGAAATGTATTCTATCTCTTTCTGTTTGTTTCTGAAGTGTTTCTTCTCTAATATTCTCTGCATTTCCTCATTTGGGTCTTTAAACTTAGAATTTATATACTCATTTATAGCATTATACTTCAAAACTCTTCTTTGGTACTTCTTTATCCAATCTAACAACTCAGTATCCTTTATACATACTAACTTAGACTTCTTTATAATATCTTTGAACGAATTGACGGTTTGGTCAAATTGACCAGAAGTACTACAAATAACAACTAACTCATAGAATGGGTTCTTCTCATCTAGTTCTTGTTGTTGTGCAGCCATTTTAAGATAAGTGAAAGTCTTACCCGACCCAGGTGGTGCAATTAGACCTGTTATACCATTCTGAGCAAATAAGAACTTGTCATGTATAGGCTTTATCTGAGCATTTTCTAACTTCCTCTTGTTCTTATTTAAAACATTCTCAAATTTCTTGTCAATGTCAGCAAACTTTTTTTCTAACATATTTTTAGAAAAATTAAAATTTTTATCTTTTAGAAAATGTCTAGCGATTTCGCTATCTATATTCGAGACAAACTTTTCGACAGCAAAACATCTGTCGACCATAAAATCTTACATAGTGTAAACAAGAAAGGTGAATTTGTTCTAAAGTTCTGTTTCTGGGAATATGACAAGAACCATAAAACATTAAGCAGAGCAGTCTTAAAATTTGTCAATGACAGACTTGTTGACAGAGATGACGCCTCTGGAGAGATGAAGTCCAACAAAACTTAGAATGCAAAGAAGACACATGCGCTGTTCTTGAAGATGAAATAGAAAACAGAATAGATGAGCTATTAAAGGACAAAGAACTTTTACATAAATATGGTTCTGAGAAATTTGACATAACTCCACCAGAAAAGAAGAAGAGAGAAAAGAAAGAAAAGAAAGTAGAAGAAGAGAAGAAAGAACCTGAACCAGTTCCAGAGAAAAAGAAATTTGACATGTAAAAATAAAATTTTATTTTTAGAACATTTCTGGGTCAATGTCAATGTTCTCTTCCTCTTTAGGAGCAAACACTGGCTTAGACTCTAAAATCTTTTTACCCAATTTACCTTGAACTTCAACTTTTAGACTCATAATATTCATAGTCGTCTGCTTTCTTTGGTTCATAAGGTATAACAAGTTTGTATGCTTTGCCTTCTTTAAGGTTTGAGAACCTTCTGTCAAAACTTTCTTTGACTGTTAACAAACCTTCTATGTCTAAGTCTTCAAATTTCGCACCATTTTTAGTCACAATAGCAAACTTAACTGGTTCGATGTTCCAAACTTTGCTGAATGAAGACTTTTCAAAATGGTAGAAGTAAACATTCAAATATGTGAATGGGTCTAGTTCTTCTTTAAGTCCTGACATGTACTTGTTTACTGAGATGAATTTTGTCATCTTTTCTATCGGATAAAAAAATATTTTTTTTAAAATTTACTCAGAAAAAATTTTCTTTGTATATACACCATTCTGAACATCTAAAAGACTTTTGACATTTGCCAAGAATGTTCGTTTAGACGCTGTCATATAACCATATTCTTGACAATATTGTTTATACGAATCGTACAATGACCTTTCATCTAATGACACAAAGTCAGTTTCATCTATGAACAGTTCATATACACTCTTGTTTGCTTCTAACAATGTTTGTCTCTCTTCGGTATGTGGAATTTGTCTTGGATTGAACTTAGAAATATCTAATGTCATAAAATATGAGAACAAGTGGTTGTAAAAGTCAGATGTCAAAGTTTCTGCTAAGTCGTCAAAATATTCTGTATCTTGCATATGAGAATCTGACGTTCTGACAACTACATATCTTCTGTCAGAACTTTCTAACTTCATCGGAACAGCATTGTTTGAAACCATAATGAAGTTTGCAACATTTTCACAAACTCTTTGGTCTTTATACTTTCTTTCAACAACTCCAACTTTCTGTTATAAGACTCTTCAAAGCATCTGAGTTCAAAACTTTTGTTGTATCTATACTTTGAAGTTCATTGCAAACTATAAGTTTCATATTCTCTATTGAGGAGTTAAATTGCCACAGATGTTTTCTAAGTTTGTCATATTCGGGTTCGAATAACCTTCTAACAGTTTGCACAAAATATCTGTAAAGAATGTGTTCTTACCAGTTCCTTGTTTTCCAATTATAATGAGAGCAGTTTCATTTTTAGCACTTGGATGTTGTAAGATGTTTGCAAACCAACATAAGATATACTCATAAACCTTTTCGTTTCCATTGCATATAATTTCTTTGACATGGTCTAACCAAGCTTCTATAATATTTTCTTTCCATTCTACTTGTTCATATTTATATCCAGTGAAGATAGAATAGAAGTTTGGAGAAGGTGTATAGAACTTTATACCTCGAACTGAAAAATCTTCTAACTTTGACAATAAGATATCCCAAGCATCTAACATCTTCATGCCAACTTGTACGACTTTTATTTTCTTAAGTTTCTGTCTACATTCTTGTTCTGAAACTATTGTCGCTTTAGGTTTGTTAAAGACTACATCCCATTCTTTCATACATAACATTCTGGGGCAGAGTCGACATAAATGACTAAACGTTTCAAATTCTCGACTGCTTTGTTATAGTCTCGAAATGGACACATATTTCTGAATGCTTGGAAGTCATAAAAATCTGAAACATCTATTCTGTACATTTTTATAAAAATAAAAAAATATTATTTTTTTATTCTTGACTTTGTTGTTCCATTTGTTGCATTTGTTGTTCTTGAGCTATTTGTTGTTGAAGTTGTTCTTGTAATACAATACTTTCACCAGTTGCATCTTCCAATTCGAAACTTTCTGCCGTCATTGACAAATACATAGGACATAAAAGTTTTACAGGAACAAAGTTTGCGTCAACTAATGTCAACGTTATACTTGCCAAAGTGTTTGAGTTCACTAAGGTTGAAAATTCTGCATTCGAATGAACAATAGGCAAACCAGCAGAGAAAGTATTGTTTATACGCATAAGTATCTTTTGGTCATAATAGTTTCTGTCGACATTCGAATAACACTTTGAACCTAAGTTTGAAACAATATATAAGATTGGTGTGCTTAATGTCAATGGAATAGACATTCCTTGTATGACACCTTTTCCTGTTATAGGAAACTGTTGGTAGTAAAAACCAGAAATAAGTTTTGTATTATAGCTCATATCGTTTATAGTAAACTCAGTCGGACATCCAAACATAATGAAACCTGCTCTAGTTGCAGCACATGTTACACCCGTACTTAAAGTATTAAATAAGTCAACAAAACCTGTTGGTGGTATATCTGAGTAAGTATCTTCAAAGGAGTATTTTTTACCATTCACAACAATAAAGTCTTCTGGTGTCAAAAGAGCAAAACAGGCTTTAGTCGTCATTGTGTTTAAGGTTAGTTTACAATATCGTCCTTGAGGACTTTGTAAGTTTGTTGTTATAGAATTATATGACTCAGGGTTTTTAGTCGTAATAGTATAAACCATTATGTCTTCTGCCATTTACTTAGCAAATAAATTTTAATGAAATGTTGTGGTCGTCAAATATTTTTATAACGTCTGGGAAACTATATTTTAAGTTCAACGTTTCACCTCCTTTCATAACGTATATCTTGTCAATGACATTATATGAAACACCACAGCAACTAATGTCGGGTTCTATTTCTTTGATGTTTATATCGTCTGCCTCTGTCAAAAGTTTCAATAGTTCTTTCAAAACTTCATGAGGTGCAATGACATATGAGTTCACTTTTACAGGGTTGTGTTCGACCAAGTTTAACATTATACTTAAAGCTTGACAAATCTTCTCCTGAGTTTGAAGTTTGTCTTTCAGTTGTTGGTAGTCGTTTCGAATATCTGCAACAGAACTTAAGTCTCTGTAACTTCAGGATATGTTGGTTCTTTTACAGGAACAATTGTTATACCATCTTCGTCTTCGTATGGTTTCCCCACTTCAACATCTCTGTCTTTGACATTGACAATAACACTTTGACTGTTTGTTTGAGTTGGTGAATTTAACTTCACATCTGCCACCGCCATTAAACCTTTTGAAACACTTACGCTTCTATTTTTCGGAAATGACATTTTACTTAGAATAAAAAGATGGACGTATTCGGATATCTCTTCGAATTGAAGCAGAACAAAGTTTACTCACAAACAATACAAATACATTGACAGAATAGTTCTTTACACAAACAATGGAAAATGTTATAGAATAGCAGTCTTTGCTGAACCAAAATATTTTCATAAAGCAAAGAAAGTTGGTATAACTGAAATGGTGAAAGTTCTTGAAGCAGACAAAAATATAACTTCAAAACTTACAGATATTTCTAAAGGTAAGTTTATAATACAATATTATGTCAAAACTGGCGTACTGTCAATATTTGACGGAGAGAAGTCAGTTCAAGAACAACTTACTGACCTGCTGCCAAAATCTGCTCGATGGAAGCTGTCGTTATGCCAATCTGAGGAGCCCCAGCAGGTTTCATCGAACGAATCTTCAAAAGAGCATCTTCCGTGAAAAGTGCTATTGGTTTTGTAAACTTCTTTGCTCTCAATTCATCTGGACCGTCTCTGTCACCAGTATATTGTATTTGACAGTACCAACAGTTGAAATACCACCCATAAAGTCTTCTGAGTCAGCAAATGGAATGCCAAGCCAAAAGTTTGAACGGTCTCCATTTGTATATTGAGTTTTTTGACCTCCTGTATGAGTCCATACTTTCACATATGGCATAATAGAACTTTGCATTTCAGGGTTAATGGTTGTTGTGAAGTTGTTGTTAAAGTTCATAGCATCTAATGTCAAGTTGTATGACCTCATATCCTCAACTGTAGAATATTCTTCTCTTGGATAATATTTGCCATCTATGTTTATATGATATTTAATACCAGGGTTGTAGAAACAAGAATAGTCATTTATAGTTCGTCTGAACAGTACAAACATAGTATCTGCATGTTTCATTGCAGTTGTTAAAGCAATATCTGTTCTTGCACCTGGGTCAGCACTTTGGTTTCCAACTTCACCTGCAAAGTCTTTGACAGATATTTGGTGTATAGGGAACATAAGTGGAACTGCAATATATTTGGCAGCTAAAGCATTTGAAATATCTGGGTCCAACATATAGACTGCAAGTCTGCTTTCTATTCTCTTGCATTCAAATTTTCGCATGTGAACTTAACTGGGTCCCAAGCAGTTCCAGCAGCATTGAAATAATAGTTTACTTCATTGTTGAAGTTTGAGAAACCAAAGTCTAAGTCAACTTTGTCTTTGCAAAAGTCACAGAACTTGGCTCCACGTTCCAGCTACAGTAATGTGAATGGGTCTTGTGTTGGTGCAATGACTAAGTTATTTTTGCTTGGAGTAAGTTCGATAGAAATTTTTCCTGCCCAGTTTGGCAAGTATCTTAAAAACCTGAAGATGAGGAAAGATGACAAAGGAACTCTAAGTTTCAGTTTTACTTTAGTGGCAGCAGTTCCATCTGAACCAGAAAGGTTAACATAAACTCCTGGAACGTTAGGGTCAAGTCTTCTTATTTTCTCAATAGTTGCATACTGGTCTGTTTGTTCTCTAGCTTGTGGTTGTACTGAGTTTCTCAAAGCGAACCATTCATAGTTTGCCCATGTTACTGTTTGAACTAAGTCAGAGTTAGAATATATCTTATATCCCATGAAAACTTCTGGAGCATATTGGTATCCGACATAGAAAATTCCATTGCAACCTTTCTTGTCAGACAACTTGGCAGAAGGTTTTATTTCAATGTCTTGTTCCACGTATAAGAATGAGTTGTCAATAGAAATAATATGAAACCTGTCGCAAGCAATATCTACTGTTGTTGAAGAACCTTCTCCAAACTCACCTACGTTTCCATAAGAAACAGCAGTTGTATATTCGTAAGTTCCAGGAACTATTTCTGACCTTCTAATGGCATTGTCGCATTCGTTATACCATTCGGAAACATTTCCGTTCATGGCATCCAAAACTGTTGGCGTTATATTCTGAGCGGCGTACATTTCATATGGGTAAAAATATAGAATAGTTGGATTTATGTCATAATAGTCGGACCAAGCTTTACTTTCTTCCTGACTGAGTTTTTAACTCTTCTTTTTCCTTCATTGCCACTACTTTCACTAGATGAAGTTACTTCTTCACTACTTTCACTTTGTTCTACTCTTCTTCTTTGGTGTCGCTTTTGGTAACTTGCCCTCTGCTTCAAGTTGTTGCATCTTTGCCTCATGTTCACCTAGTATGTTGTAAATTTCCCATGTCCTTTTTGCCTTTGGGCTCTGGTCGCCCATCTCAGGTAACCATATCCTAGAAAGATTTTGTCATAGTTTGTATTTGAGTCTTCGCGTATTGTTTGCATGACTCTTTCCTGAGTTTCCGGTTCAAGCTCTTCAAACAGAGCTTGTCCATATGGAATAAGCTCGTTTCCAAATATATGTTTTTGTAGCCATTCTGGTTTTCTTTCCATGTTACCAATAATATCTTTTGTGAATGGGAAAGCTTTTACCCAATGTTTCAGTCTTGCGTCATTTATTTCTGTAGTTGGTTTTATTTTGTCAAGGAACATGTTTTTCAATACTAACATTTCATTTGGTACTGTCCATTTGAGTTTTCTTAAATATTCATCCCTTCTCAGTTCATTGTCTGCAAAGTAAGTTTTTATGACATTTTGCAAACTTTCGTTTGCAAGGTCATGTACAATAGGTTCTCTTCCTTCTCTCTCCCTAACTTTCTTTCTAAACTCTTCACCAAATATACCATCTCTATGGTTCTGTGTAGTTCTTTGAGATAAATGTTCTAGAACGTCAGGTGTTATATTTCCCAGCCATGTTCATTTCATACTGGTCCAAAATATCTGCATCTTTCATATCTTTCAATGGCATTAAAGCCGCGCTGAAAATACCAGCTATATCTGGTTCACCATTCACTTCCATTGCGTCTACAACTTCTTGGAATTGTGGTTGTAAGTTTATGAACCACCTATCCGGATTAGCTTTATGACCCCATCTCATTGTAGTTCCATAGTCTGCAGAAACAAAAGTAGGTTTGTTTCCATATTGGTTAGGTTCTGAATGAACTTTAAACAATGTTTCATTTCTATATGTTTTGTTGAAATTTAACCTTTTATTTTCACCGAGTTCAGCCAAAGATTGAACGTTATATGGTCGTAAGTAAAAAGGATTATTGTATTTGCGTACATTTTCTTTCAGTACTTCCATTCTATGCTGAATATTTTCATCTGATGTTGGAGTCTTTTGTATGTCGGCGAACATTTTTCGATATTCTTCTACTATGTCAGCCGAATTTTTCTTAGACTCTTGGAAAGATTCCATATTCTCCTCATACACTTGTTGAGGGTCAAGATTTTTCGGCTGTTCCAAATCTTCATCTAGTTCTGTGAAGTTAGTTTCCAAAGGAGGGACTTGTTCGTTTCCTTCAGGCTCTTCTAGCTGTTGTTGCTGAACTATTTCTTCCATGTCTGGTTGTATCTGAACTTCTTCCTGTGGAGTTTCTTGTACCTCATCTGCTGGCATTTCATATATTCCGAGACCGTTTTTAACAAGTTCCCTATTAAGTCATCCGCATCATAACCTTTCTTCTTTCGTTCCGTCTCTATTTTTTACGCGTTTCATGAAGATAGTTGAATTATCATTTATCTCTGACACCAAATATCTCGGAGTAAATTCATCCATGTCATTTGGATGATATGCTATTAAATCATATCCCTTAGCGAGCTTGTATTTTCCAGGTTTGAAATTATATCCCATTTGGTGCTGAACCATAAAGCTAAATAGGTTCGGGTCAGTATTTCCTTCCTTGAACTTTCTAATAGCTTCTTTATATCTGTCACTAAAGTCAAGAGTATCTGGGTAACCATAATTTCCTTAAGCATTTTTAAGAATTCTTGGTTTCCTTGTTCTCTACTTCTTTTATGTCCTTGCTCTGTTTGTGGTTGTTGTTGTGCAGTGGTTTTGAACTGTTGGTTGTGTGCAGTGTTTTGAACTGTTGGTTGTGTGCAGTGTTTTGAACTGTTGGTTGTGGTGCAGTGTTTTGAACTGTTGGTTGTTGTGTTGGTTGTTGTGTTGGTTTTGGTGCATGCCTGTGTCTGTGTCCATGTGACGATGTAAATGTTTTAGGTAGTCCTGGTGCAGGTGCTTCTCTTGGAGGGTTTGGTGGTATATAAGTTCCACTAGCTAGTATATAAGTTCCACCAGCTGGTATATAAGTTCCACCAGCTGGCACATATGTTCCATCTGCAGCATAATGTCCTACCTGACTTTTCGTTTTAAGAAAGCATTTACTAGGTCTGTTTTGGTCTGTTGTAACTCTTTTTCTTGACTTTCCACAACAGTTGCTCTAACGGCGTCATAGGCACTTTGAACTGCCTGTCTCGTTGCTGCATCTGTTATTTTCGTCATATTTTGTGCTACTTCTCTTAACTCTTTGTCGAAACCTTCAGACTTCAGTTTCTTTCCAGATGAGAAGTCGTTCACTAGTTTCACCTTACTATGAAGAGCTTCGAAGGCATTCTTAAAGTCAGCATTCATTAAAGCTTCATTTGAACTGTCTTCATCCGCTTGTATTTTTGTCCTTATTGACCCTATAAGTTGGGCTGCTTTAGCGTTGGCTTGGGCATCTAACCAGTCATTATTAGCTTTTATATATTCTGCGCTTTTCATTGCCTTTTGCATGGCTGCGTCGTTATTTTTACTTTCTTGTGCTAAGTTTTCATACTGTACGGTTTGGTTTTGCAACTGTAAAAGTTTTTCTGCCTTTACATTTGCTTCAACTTCTTTTTTATACTCATCGCTATCCATATATGTCTTCAGGGCTTTTTGTTTTATTTCTTCATCTTTCAGTACTTTATATTGAGTAGTATGGTTTTTCAAATTTATAACATCTTGTTCCATTTTTGCTACTTCTGCTGCTTTTTCTGACACTTTTTTCGCATATTCCTCTGTACTTAGTTCTTTCAGTTGTTCTTCTTTCTTCTTTTTCTCTACGTTTAACTCATTGAGTTTCTTTGTGTGTCTGTCATATTCTAGTTTCTTTTCGTTTTCACTTATTTGTTTCTGTATGTCTATGTTTGACTTTTTGACATCTGTTATTTGATTTTTGAGTGAACTCAAATTCATTTGACTTTGAGGGTTATAAGCTGTTCCGTCTGCAGCTCCACCATAGCCTGCCATTTTCGCTAAAAGTGCCGCTCTTAAACCTCCACTCTGTGCACCAATAACTCGGTTTAAAAGCATAGGGTTGCTTGACATTTGTTGCAACATAGTGGGGTCATTCATCATTTGTTGTTGCAACTGTTGTTGTGGTGTCAGTTTTACTATTGGATGTTTCAATGCTCCCTTCCTCTTACGTATATTCTTACGTAGCTTACGTGGCATTTTAAGTGAAGTTAAAAAGCGGTTTTTGACAGATGTTTATATGACACTATTTGTTCAGCACAAAAAACTACTCGGTCAAAGTGTTGTCAGTTTTGTAAAATAACCGTCTTATCTCATTCTATAAGGGGAAAAAGGCTTCTCAAAGTATACTTCCTTGGAACGCCCGTAACTTTTCCTGTAGCGACGTTAGACCCTTACTTGTCCGGACAAAGTTATACTATTTTGAGTGCTCTACAAAAAAGTCAACGGCGACGACTCTCAAAAACCGTTGTGTAAAAAGTTTTACCGTTGGACAAAAAAGTATATATAGAAAACAAAAAACGTTTATAGTTCATTCAATATTTGAGATGGAACGGTTTTCCAACGGTAACTATTAAATAAAATAAAAAAATAGAAGGGGTCTCCGTTGACGAAAACGGTTTATTTTAAACTTTTCTATGAGTTGTCCGAAAAAAAACAGTTCATTTTTCATAATGGAAGGAAGAAAAAGTGTCGCAAACAATTCGTCGACTACCTCTGCAGTTAAAGTTCCTACAACTTATGTCTCACCATTCTCAAAACCCTTACGACCTCCTATAATACCAAAGCAACTTCCTCATACAATTCAAGACAATTTGTTGGACAATATGCATTTGCACAAAGAAACAGCTCAGCCAACAGGTCAGGCAACAACAACTATCGGAACAGAAGCATTTTCAGAAGAAGTTCATACCAATCAGACTCCAATCGAACATACAGAAACACAACCACCCGAAAATACAGAAACACATCCAATCGAACATACAGAAACACATTCTGCAATGACCACTAGGTCGCAAACACGATATCTCGCCTTTAGCAAACAATTTAAGTCTCAAATTCAAGACACACAAGATAGCGACACTCCTCTTTCAGAGAAAGTTCGTAGAAAATACGCAAAGAAAAGGTTAGAATTGTTAGATAAGTTAAATGAACAGTGGGGTTCAGAAGACAATCGAGATTATAACGAGATGTTTCAAGCTGTCATGGATGCCATTCAGCCTCTTGAAAACGAAATCAAAGACCCTGGCGTACTTGTTGACATGTTTGCTTCATATTTACCCGTTACTGCCAATCTCATAGCGTTGCAAGCTATTGACCAGTTCATTCACTTGTTTCCAAAGAACTTGCAGAAGCATTTACAAGAAGTTAAAATTGCTGAATTTGTCCGTTTATATCCAAATTCATACAATTATTTGGAAGAATTGAATGAACATGGTGAAAGGTCCTTTTACGTATACTTTTTTACTAAACCAGGACAGTCAAAACGGTTATATTGTATACAACCTTTACCAGAATTTCAAGACAATTTCCACGTTATAACAACTGTTGCTTTAGATATTCCTGCCAGAGTTCCATATGGAGGAACAGTAACTATCTCAAGCTTTCCCAAGGGCTATAAAGGAAAGCCTCTCACAATTGCAAAATTCACACACAGCAGTTGCCAATTTGTTCAAGATGTCGAGTTCCATTTCCTCAACAATACGACTTTCATCATAGAGACTCCTCAAGAAGGTATATACAAAGTTTTCATCGCAGGATTTGTTGCTCCCAATGGCGAAGAAGAAGTCGAAGAAATCCTCACCTCAGAGAGCGAAGAAGAAGAAGTCGAAGAAATCCTCACCTCAGAGAGTGAAGAAGAAGAAAATTTCCAAGACATTCAAGATTCAGAATATACCGAATAAAAAAAAACAATTTAAGACTAAAAATTTAAATTTATATAATATTTTTATTTTTTTCATCTGGTCTTTGTATCATTCCTCCTCTAGTTTCTCCGGGGCTAGAGGACACGAAGTGCCTGGAAGCCCCACTACCTTTTTTTTTTTTTTTTTTTTTAATATTGTTGGCAAGCCATAAATTATATAGTCTACAAAATTGAATGACATATTTCGGCTCATCTGAAATATTTATCAAACATATCTATAAAGTAACAGTAATTGATTTTTTACAATTTCAGTAATTACTTGAAAACCGTTTCGATTTTTGAAAAAGTTGGTTCACTTTTATCCTGAATGAGTGAGGATTATCAACCACACGTTATTCTGCTTACAGGCGGTGCCGGCTTCATTGGCTCCCACGTTTGCAATCACTTAGTCCTTAAGTATCCAGATGTCAAGATTATTTGCTTAGATGTTATGGACTATTGCGCCAATCTTCGTAACCTCGAAGAAATCATGAACAAGCCAAACTTCCTCTTCATCAAGGGCAGCATCAACAACGTTGAGCTTGTTTCCTACATCATGAAGACACATGCAGTTGATACAGTTATGCACTTTGCTGCTCAGTCCCACGTTGATAGATCCTTCGGTAACTCACTTGAGTTCACACATACAAACATTCTCGGTACACACGTTCTCCTTGAATGCGCAAAGCAAAACAACATCAAGCGTTTCATCCATGTTTCAACAGATGAAGTTTATGGTGAAGTTCTTTCCGGCTGCGCAGAGGAAGAAAAGTCCATCCTTTGCCCAACAAACCCATACGCTTGCTCCAAGGCTGGTGCTGAATTCATGTGCCAAGCTTACATCCGCTCATTCAACATGCCAATCATCATCACCCGTGGTAACAACGTTTTCGGACCAAAGCAGTTCCCAGAAAAGGTTATTCCAAAGTTCACATTACTTCTTAAGGCCGGCCACAAGTGCTGCATCCACGGCGATGGCTCAGCCCTCCGTAACTTCCTCCACACATCCGATGTCGTTCAGGCCTTCGATACTATTCTCCATAAGGGCAAACTCCACCAGATCTATAACATCGGTACAGATTTCGAAATCTCTGTCCTCGAGATGACAAAGAAGCTTATCAAGGTCCTCAACATGCCAGGAAAGCCAGAAGACTGGATCGAGTTCGTTCCAGATAGAGCTTTCAACGATTCTCGTTACATGATCAACTCAAGCAAGCTTATTGCTCTCGGATGGCACGCTAACACAGATTTCGATACTCTTCTTAAGGAAACAGTTCAGTGGTACTTAGACCATATGGATTATTGGAAGGATCGTGATATCAACACATACCTTTCTCCACATCCAATCGCTTATGCTCCAAAGACAGCTGAATAAAGGATATGCTGATATACAAAAAAATTCATAATTTTTTTTTTCTTTTTTCACCAAAAAATGATATTATTCAATGGTATCTTAATGAATAAATTGTTTGTTAACAATCACATGTTCAGATTTCTTATCTTTTGATCAGTGAGTGATTATTACTGCATAAGGTGAAACATTCGATTTCTATTTCACAACACCTTGTAGTATGCTTAATAATATATCAGAATGACTAGTCATCCTGTTGAATTAATATTAAATTTTACTTTTTGTATCGATACAGCTCTTTTGTTATGTCTAATTTTACAATAAGTTGATAATGTTGTCAACATAGGTCAGGTAAGTGGGGCTTCCAGGCGCGTTGCGCCCTCTAGCCCATAAGAAATTTTGCCCAAGACCCAAGAGGAGGACCGAACCCCAGCCGACCAGCCGGTGACAAAACCAAAACCGTTGTTATTTACATCATATTAGTAGTGTCACTTTTTAAATATCACTTTTTGTGTCGCTTTTCACAAATTATATATGTTTTCATGTTTTGTTGTTGCATGCTAAGTTCGGTCAACGATAGAAATTGAGTGGAAATTAATCGTCGAGGAAGTACGATTATGTAAAGTAAAAAATGTTGTGGGATTTTTAATATTATATATTATTTTATAATAAAATTTTTTGAGTCATTTTAAGAAGCACATATAATTTTTTGAATTTAAAAATTAAAGTGGTGTCAAACGAATTTATCACTTAATTTAATACTCAGATTTCTTAAAATTAATGAAAAAAAGGTTTTCTGAGAACTTTTGAGAATGGTTTTCAAATTCCATTATTGAAAATATATAGGTATTGTATGAAATTCAAACTCTATATTTATTAAAATTCTAAATTTTTAATAAAATAACTTTTCAGAGGAATATGATTTTGAATGGTTGATTAATAAGTATAAAAATGTCTACGATTTTAAGGAGGGAATTGTTCCTTATGAGGTATACATCATAACTATATACCTCATAAGGAACAATTCCCTCTTGATAGCTGGGAAACTTTCTCTGAATAACTTATCATTTGGAGAAAGTTCCCCAGCTATCTATTAGGAACTAAAGGCTATGAGGCACTGATTATATATTAGTGCCTCATAGCCTTTAGTTTCCTATTAAAAACGAGAAAACTTGTTCGAAATGATAAACAATTTCGAACAAGTTTTCTCATTTTAAGGAAGGAATTGTTCCTTATGAGGTATACATCATAACTATATACCTCATAAGGAACAATTCCCTCTTGATATCCTGGATATTTTTGAATATATTTTTTTAATTAAAGTTCTCAAAAGTATTATCAAAAGTGATTTTTTAAAAATATCTCCAATTAATTAACTAATTAGGCAAACCCAAATTTTAGCTAAAAGTGACAGGGGAAAAAAACGTTTAGTATTAAAAAAAAAGACCGATGAGAGCTTCGTTCGAAATATAGAGGGAACTGAGAATGCGCAACCATTCTCAGGGAATATTGGATGCTATTCCCGTTCCCTCTGTATGGAAAATTGAGGTTTTCAAAGGGAGTTAAAATAATATCAAATTTATACTAATTTACTTCAAAATACAAAAGTATTTGACAGCTAAAATTAGTTACTTTAGCAAGCCTATCAATACCCTTTTACGATTATTGCTACTTTTTCGAAATAAAAGTAAAAACAAATTTATACTAATTTACTTCAAAATACAAAAGTATTTGACAGCTAAAATTAGTTACTTTAGCAAGCCTATCAATACCCTTTTACGATTATTGCTACTTTTTCGAAATAAAATAAATTTATTATCAAAAACCTTTTTTTTCTTAGTAAAAATAAACGAAATTTTTACCTTATGAACTTTTGATGGAAATATGCAAATTTAAAATAATAAAGAAAGCCGCGAGCGAAGCGATCGGCTTAGTTCGAAGATTTTGATTCAAATCTTTGCTGATCTGTAATTCGCGGAAGCCGCGAGCGAATCGAGCGGCTTAGGTCTAAGATTTTGATTCAAATCTTTGCTTATATTCCTTAAATTCTTTATGAAACTCGCAACAGTTCCATAAAAAATTTTAAATTCTAAACTGTCGAAATTACCGATCGGTAATCACACCCTTCACGGGTGTGTCAGTTTTTACAAGTGTGTCACTTTTAGCTAAAATTACCCCTACTCTAAAATTGAGAGGTTTACATTATGACTGATCTTAGCATGCAACATTGTCACTTTTCTGTCACTTTTCGGGTAAAAACATTTTTATTATTATATATAAATGAATTTTACAAAACTTCCATTACCGTTCTTTGAAAATAAGAGTAGATGTAAAGATATTATATTGAGAGAACTTAAGAAACTACCGAATGGTCTAACATTTGTAGATTTGTTCGGTGGAAGTTTCTATATATCCCATTTATGTCATACCGTATTTCCTGACTCAAAGATTATATGCAATGACTTCGACAACTATATGGACCGTCTCAAACATATACCAGACACAAACAATATATTGAAAGAGTTAAAAGAAAAGATACCTATAGGTAAGATGGAACGTATACCATTAGATAAGAAAAATATTGTGAGAGAGGTTTTGAAAAAAGCAGAATATATAGACTGGGATAGTATATCTGCTAGACTATTATATAGTGGTTCTATAAGAGTTCATGACATTGAAACACTTATGTCAAAAGTTTTATATCTTAACTATACAAATGTTTTCAAAGAGGACATAGAAAAATATATTGAGGGTATAGAGTTTGTGAGATGTCATTGGACAGAGTTGTATGAAAAATATAAAGACAAGGAAAATGTTTTCTTTATAGGAAACAATAAGAATTACCGAAAAATTGACAAAACATCAAAAACAGGGAGGGGGTCTCAATTTTTATTACTTATATTATTTTACAATATTTATATAAATACTCTTTATAATATATTTTACTATAAAATTATACCTCAAATTCAAATATTTAAAATATTATTTACATAATTATCTCAAAATTATATTTTTATATATTATTTTTCATATGTATAAATCATATAATCTATATCTATGCAAATCTCATCTAAATTTTTTTGAAACAAACCTCTACCATTTTATAATGGTCCATCTTAAATTCATCATAAATTCTGGTACATGTTAGTACCAGAGTCTTCAAATCTCAAACACTCTGGTACCAACATGTACCAGACGCGAGTTTCCAATGCCCTCGTACGATTTTCTATTAAGATCTTCTTGAATGAGAAGGTCTTCATAGAAACTCGTACGAGGGCTTCTCTTTTAAATACTCTGGTACCTGCTGGTATCGGAGTCGACTTTACAGCCCTTTCCCCAATTTTGAAGCTGGGGAAAGTTTTCAAGCAATGAAAGGGAAGCTCTCGCTATGAGGTGAAAATCTAAAATTTTTACCTCATAGCGAGTAATCCTTTGTTAATTGCTTGAAAACTTTCTTCAAATTATCAAAATTTCGAGGAAAGTTTCCTTGCTTCAAAGTAGAGATGGAGCCCTTTGAGCCACTGCATATAGGTCAGTGACTCAAAATACTCCATCTCTACTAGAAATCGCCAAAATTTGGGTCGCAATCTTTGAAATGCGACGCAAGTTTTGGCAATTTCGCGAGGACTTGCTCCATTTGGTGCATAGATTCACACTCTATGCACCAGATGGAACAATTCTTTCGCTGACAGCGGGAAACTTTGTCTGAATAGTTTAACATTCAGACAAAGTTTCCCGCTGTCAGAGAGGGAATGGAAGGGTAAGAGGTATATATTCATAATGTATACCTCTTACTCTTCCATTCCCTCAAGAAAGTTCAAAAACTTGGGTGCAATCAGAACTGATTGCACCCAAGTTTTTGAACTTTATATAAGGAATTGTTGGCTATGATGTACTGATCATGAATCAGTACATCATAGCCAACAATTCCTTCGCAAACAGTGGGAAACTTTGTCTGAATAGTTTAACATTCAGACAAAGTTTCCCGCTGTCAGAGAGGGAATGGAAGGGTAAGAGGTATATATTCATAATGTATACCTCTTACTCTTCCATTCCCTCAAGAAAGTTCAAAAACTTGGGTGCAATCAGAACTGATTGCACCCAAGTTTTTGAACTTTATATAAGGAATTGTTGGCTATGATGTACTGATCATGAATCAGTACATCATAGCCAACAATTCCTTCGCAAACAGTGGGAAACTTTGTCTGAATAGTTTAACATTCAGACAAAGTTTCCCGCTGTCAGGGAGGGAATTAGAGGGTGGGAGATATATAGATAGACTATAAATCTCTCACCCTTTAATTCCCTCAAGAAAGTTCAAAAACTTGGGTGCAATCAGTTCTGATTGCACCCAAGTTTTTGAATTTTGTATAAGGAATTGTTGGCTATGATGTGGATAGCCGCTGCCAGACCAAATGAATTAACCGTTGTGAATAACGTTTCTGAATCTTTATTTAAAAAGATAAAATAAAAAAAAAAAAAAAAAAAAAAGGTAGTGGGGCTTCCAGGCACTTCGTGCCTTCTAGCCCTGATGATGTTTAGTAATAAATGAAGTTTTTATTCGGAAAATTGTTAGTCTTCTGGGTCGAAAACATTATATAATGTGTCGCTTTTCACAAATTATATATGTTTTCATGTTTTGTCAAGACTTCTTCGTAATGAGTGTAAATGACCAAAAATATAATTTAGGGTAGAAGGTTAGATCTAACCTCTTTTCTAACCTCTTTTCTACCCTCTTGAATTTGTCATGATTTCTTCGTAAATGTTTTGTCAAACATGAACGTACATGTTTTGTCAAGACTTCTTCATCGTAATGAGTGTAAAGGACCCAAAAATAATGTTTAGGTGAAGAGGTGCGATCTCACCTCCTTTTTCACCTGTTTTTTCACCTCATGAATTTTCATGATTTCTTCGTCATAGGCACGGAGATAGGACGGTTATTTTACAAAACCGACAACACTTTGACCGAGTAGTTTTTTGTGCTGAACAAAAAGTGTCATATAAACATCTGTCAAAAACCGCTTTTTAACTTCACTTAAAATGCCACGTAAGCTACGTAAGAATATACGTAAGAGGAAGAGAGCATTGAAACATCCAATAGTAAAACTGACACCACAACAACAGTTGCAACAACAAATGATGAATGACCCCACTATGTTGCAACAAATGTCAAGCAACCCTATGCTTTTAAACCGAGTTATTGGTGCACAGAGTGGAGGTTTAAGAGCGGCACTTTTAGCGAAAATGGCAGGCTATGGTGGAGCTGCAGACGGAACAGCTTATAACCCTCAAAGTCAAATGAATTTGAGTTCACTCAAAAATCAAATAACAGATGTCAAAAAGTCAAACATAGACATACAGAAACAAATAAGCGAAAACGAAAAGAAACTAGAATATGACAGACACAAAAGAAACTAAATGAGTTAAACGTAGAGAAAAAGAAGAAAGAAGAACAACTGAAAGAACTAAGTACAGAGGAATATGCGAAAAAAGTGTCAGAAAAAGCAGCAGAAGTAGCAAAAATGGAACAAGATGTTATAAATTTGAAAAACCATACTACTCAATATAAAGTACTGAAAGATGAAGAAATAAAACAAAAAGCCCTGAAGACATATATGGATAGCGATGAGTATAAAAAAGAAGTTGAAGCAAATGTAAAGGCAGAAAAACTTTTACAGTTGCAAAACCAAACCGTACAGTATGAAAACTTAGCACAAGAAAGTAAAATAACGACGCAGCCATGCAAAAGGCAATGAAAAGCTCAGAATATATAAAAGCTAATAATGACTGGTTAGATGCCCAAGCCAACGCTAAAGCAGCCCAACTTATAGGGTCAATAAGGACAAAAATACAAGCGGATGAAGACAGTTCAAATGAAGCTTTAATGAATGCTGACTTTAAGAACGCCTTCGAAGCTCTTCATAGTAAGGTGAAACTAGTGAACGACTTCTCATCTGGAAAGAAACTGAAGTCTGAAGGTTTCGACAAAGAGTTAAGAGAAGTAGCACAAAATATGACGAAAATAACAGATGCAGCAACGAGACAGGCAGTTCAAAGTGCCTATGACGCCGTTAGAGCAACTGTTGTGGAAAGTCAAGAAAAAGAGTTACAACAGACAAAACAGACCTAGTAAATGCTTTCTTAAAAACGAAAAGTCAGGTAGGACATTATGCTGCAGATGGAACATATGTGCCAGCTGGTGGAACTTATATACCACCATGAGGTACAAGAAACTCCACAGGAAGAAGTTCAGATACAACCAGACATGGAAGAAATAGTTCAGCAACAACAGCTAGAAGAGCCTGAAGGAAACGAACAAGTCCCTCCTTTGGAAACTACAGAAATAAATGACGCAAGACTGAAACATTGGGTAAAAGCTTTCCCATTCACAAAAGATATTATTGGTAACATGGAAAGAAAACCAGAATGGCTACAAAAACATATATTTGGAAACGAGCTTATTCCATATGGACAAGCTCTGTTTGAAGAGCTTGAACCGGAAACTCAGGAAAGAGTCATGCAAACAATACGCGAAGACTCAAATACAAACTATGACAAAATCTTTCTAGGATATAGGTTACCTGAGATGGGCGACCAGAGCCCAAAGGCAAAAAGGACATGGGAAATTTACAACATACTAGGTGAACATGAGGCAAAGATGCAACAACTTGAAGCAGAGGGCAAGTTACCAAAAGCGACACCAAAGAAGAAGAGTAGAACAAAGTGAAAATAGTGAAGAAGTAACTTCATCTAGTGAAAGTAGTGGCAATGAAGGAAAAAGAAGAGTTAAAAACTCAGTCAGGAAGAAAGTAAAGCTTGGTACGAGTGGGTTCTATTATGATATATAAATCCAACTATTCTATATTTTTACCCATATGAAATGTACGCCGCTCAGAATATAACGCCAACAGTTTTGGATGCCATGAACGGAAATGTTTCCGAATGGTATAACGAATGCGACAATGCCATTAGAAGGTCAGAAATAGTTCCTGGAACTTACGAATATACAACTGCTGTTTCTTATGGAAACGTAGGTGAGTTTGGAGAAGGTTCTTCAACAACAGTAGATATTGCTTGCGACAGGTTTCATATTATTTCTATTGACAACTCATTCTTATACGTGGAACAAGACATTGAAATAAAACCTTCTGCCAAGTTGTCTGACAAGAAAGGTTGCAATGGAATTTTCTATGTCGGATACCAATATGCTCCAGAAGTTTTCATGGGATATAAGATATATTCTAACTCTGACTTAGTTCAAACAGTAACATGGGCAAACTATGAATGGTTCGCTTTGAGAAACTCAGTACAACCACAAGCTAGAGAACAAACAGACCAGTATGCAAATATTGAGAAAATAAGAAGACTTGACCCTAACGTTCCAGGAGTTTATGTTAACCTTTCTGGTTCAGATGGAACTGCTGCCACTAAAGTAAAACTGAAACTTAGAGTTCCTTTGTCATCTTTCCTCATCTTCAGGTTTTTAAGATACTTACCAAACTGGGCAGGAAAAATTTCTATCGAACTTACTCCAAGCAAAAATAACTTAGTCATTGCACCAACACAAGACCCATTCACTCTTACAGACGTAATGGGAACAAATAAAACGTCATTCGCCGACTTTTGCAAAGACAAAGTTGACTTAGACTTTGGTTTCTCAAACTTCAACAATGAAGTAAACTATTATTTCAATGCTGCTGGAACTGCTTGGGACCCAGTTAAGTTCACATGCGAAAAGTTTGAATGCAAGAGAATAGAAAGCAGACTTGCAGTCTATATGTTGGACCCAGATATTTCAAATGCTTTAGCTGCCAAATATATTGCAGTTCCACTTATGTTCCCTATACACCAAATATCTGTCAAAGACTTTGCAGGTGAAGTTGGAAACCAAAGTGCTGACCCAGGTGCAAGAACAGATATTGCTTTAACAACTGCAATGAAACATGCAGATACTATGTTTGTACTGTTCAGACGAACTATAAATGACTATTCTTGTTTCTACAACCCCGGTATTAAATATCATATAAACATAGATGGCAAATATTATCCAAGAGAAGAATATTCTACAGTTGAGGATATGAGGTCATACAACTTGACATTAGATGCTATGAACTTTAACAACAACTTCACAACAACCATTAACCCTGAAATGCAAAGTTCTATTATGCCATATGTGAAAGTATGGACTCATACAGGAGGTCAAAAAACTCAATATACAAATGGAGACCGTTCAAACTTTTGGCTTGGCATTCCATTTGCTGACTCAGAAGACTTTATGGGTGGTATTTCAACTGTTGGTACTGTACAAATACAATATACTGGTGACAGAGACGGTCCAGATGAACTGAGAGCAAAGAAGTTTACAAAACCAATAGCACTTTTCACGGAAGATGCTCTTTTGAAGATTCGTTCGATGAAACCTGCTGGGGCTCCTCAGATTGGCATAACGACAGCTTCCATCGAGCAGATTTTGGCAGCAGGTCAGTAAGTTGTTCTTGAACTGACTTCTCTCCGTCAAATATTGACAGTACGCCAGTTTTGACATAATATTGTAAGATAAACTTACCTTTAGAAATATCTGTAAGTTTTGAAGTTATATTTTTGTCAACGTCAAGAACTTTCACCATTTCAGTTATACCAACTTTCTTTGCTTTATGGAAATATTTTGGTTCAGCAAAGACTGCTATTCTATAACATTTTCCATTGTTTGTATAAAGAACTATTCTGTCAATGTATTTGTATTGTTTGTGTGTGTAAACTTTGTTCTGCTTCAATTCGAAGAGATACTCGAATACGTCCATCTTTTTATTCTAAGTAAAATGTCATTTCCGAAAAATAGAAGCGTGAGTGTTTCAAAAGGTTTAATGGCGGTGGCAGATGTGAAGTTAAATTCACCAACTCAAACAAACAGTCAAAGTGTTGTTGTCAATGTCAAAGACAGAGATGTTGAAGTGGGGAAACCATACGAAGACGAAGATGGTATAACAATTGTTCCTGTAAAAGAACAACCAACATATCCTGAAGTTAGCAGAGACTTAAGTTCTGTTGCAGATATTCGAAACGACTACCAACAACTGAAAGACAAACTTCAAACTCAGGAGAAGATTTGTCAAGCTTTAAGTATAATGTTAAACTTGGTCGAACACAACCTGTAAAAGTGAACTCATATGTCATTGCACCTCATGAAGTCTTGAAAGAACTATTGAAACTTTTGACAGAGGCAGACGATATAAACATCAAAGAAATAGAACCCGACATTAGTTGCTGTGGTGTTTCATATAATGTCATTGACAAGATATACGTTATGAAAGGAGGTGAAACGTTGAACTTAAAGTATAGTTTCCCAGACGTCATAAAAATATTTGACGACCACAACATTTCATTAAAATTTATTTGCTAAGTAAAAATGTCAAAACTTCTTGAAAGATGTTTGAAGAAAAATAATATAGACTTTATTTCATGTAAAGGACTTTACACACTTTTGAACGATATGAAAGACCCTGTTTTGTTTGTTCGTGTAGACAAAGGAAAGTTCTATGTCTTTACAAATATTTGAACTTCTTAGACAGAGAACTTCAAGAAACGCCATGTGAAAGTTTAGATGAAGTTCTTCTCCACTTTCAGAAAAACTTTTAAATATATATAAATGGCAGAAGATATAATGGTTTATACTATTACGACTAAAAACCCTGAGTCATATAATTCTATAACAACAAACTTACAAAGTCCTCAAGGACGATATTGTAAACTAACCTTAAACAAATGACGACTAAAGCCTGTTTTGCTCTTTTGACACCAGAAGACTTTATTGTTGTGAATGGTAAAAATACTCCTTTGAAGATACTTACTCAGATATACCACCAACAGGTTTTGTTGACTTATTTAATACTTTAAGTACGGGTGTAACATGTGCTGCAACTAGAGCAGGTTTCATTATGTTTGGATGTCCGACTGAGTTTACTATAAACGATATGAGCTATAATACAAAACTTATTTCTGGTTTTTACTACCAACAGTTTCCTATAACAGGAAAAGGTGTCATACAAGGAATGTCTATTCCATTGACATTAAGCACACCAATCTTATATATTGTTTCAAACTTAGGTTCAAAGTGTTATTCGAATGTCGACAGAAACTATTATGACCAAAAGATACTTATGCGTATAAACAATACTTTCTCTGCTGGTTTGCCTATTGTTCATTCGAATGCAGAATTTTCAACCTTAGTGAACTCAAACACTTTGGCAAGTATAACGTTGACATTAGTTGACGCAAACTTTGTTCCTGTAAAACTTTTATGTCCTATGTATTTGTCAATGACGGCAGAAAGTTTCGAATTGGAAGATGCAACTGGTGAAAGTATTGTATTACAAGAACAACTTCAACAACAAATAGCTCAAGAACAACAAATGCAACAAATGCAACAAATGCAACAACAAAGTCAAGAAAATAAAAAAATATTTTTTTTATTTTTAAAAATGTACAGAATAGATGTTTCAGATTTTTATGACTTCCAAGCATTCAGAAATATGTGTCATTTCGAGACTATAACAAAGCAGTCGAGAATTTGAAACGTTTAGTCATTTATGTCGACTCTGCCCCAGAATGTTATGTCATGAAAGAATGGATGTTGTCTTTAACAAACCTAAAGCGACAATAGTTTCAGAACAAGAATGTAGACAGAAACTTAAGAAAATAAAAGTCGTACAAGTTGGAATGAAGATGTTAAGATGCTTGGGATATCTTATTGTCAAAGTTAGAAGATTTTTCAGTTCGAGGTATAAAGTTCTATACACCTTCTCCAAACTTCTATTCTATCTTCACTGGATATAAATACGAACAAGTAAATGGAAAGAAAATATTATAGAAGCTTGGTTACCATGTCAAAGAAATTATATGCAATGGAAACGAAAAGGTTTATGAGTATATCTTATGTTGGTTTGCAAACATCTTACAACATCCAAGTGCTAAAAATGAAACTGCTCTCATTATAATTGGAAACAAGGAACAGGTAAGAATACTTTCTTTACAGATATTTTGTGCAAACTGTTAGAGGCTATTCGAATCCGAATATGACAAACATAGAAAAACATCTGTGGCAAGTTTAACTCCTCAATAGAGAATATGAAACTTATAGTTTGCAATGAACTTCAAAGTATAGATACAACAAAAGTTTTCTCAGATGCTTTGAAGAGTCTTATAACAGACAAAGTTGGAGTTGTTGAAAGAAAGTATAAAGACCAAAGAGTTTGTGAAAATGTTGCAAACTTCATTATGGTTTCAAACAAATGCTGTTCCGATGAAGTTAGAAAGTTCTGACAGAAGATATGTAGTTGTCAGAACGTCAGATTCTCATATGCAAGATACAGAATATTTTGACGACTTAGCAGAAACTTTGAATCTGACTTTTACACCACTTGTTCTCATATTTTATGACATTAGATATTTCAAAGTTCAATCCAAGACAAATTCCACATACCGAAGAGAGACAAACATTGTTAGAAGCAAACAAGAGTGTATATGAACTGTTCATAGATGAAATGACTTGAGTGTTTAGATGAAAGGTCATTGTACGATTCGTATAAACAATATTGTCAAGAATATGGTTATATGACAGCGTCTAAACGAAATTCTTGGCAAATGTCAAAAGTCTTTTAGACGTACAGAATGGTGTATATATAAAGAAAAATTTTCTGAGTAAATTTAAAAAAAAATTTTTTTATCCGATAGAAAAGATGACAAAATTCATCTCAGTAAACAAGTACATGTCAGGACTTAAAGAAGAACTAGACCGCATTCACATATTTGAATGTTTACTTCTACCATTTTGAAAAGTCTTCATTCAGCAAAGTTTGGAACATCGAACCAGTTAAGTTTGCTATTGTGACTAAAAATGGTGCGAAATTTGAAGACTTAGACATAGAAGGTTTGTTACAGTCAAAGAAAGTTTTGACAGAAGGTTTTCAAACCTTAAAGAAGGCAAGCATACAAACTTGTTATACCTTATGAACCAAAGAAGCAGACGACTATGAATATTGATGAGTCTAAGATAGTTGAAGTTCAAGGTAAATTGGGTAAAAAGATTTTAGAGTCTAAGCGCAGTGTTTGCTCCTAAAGAGGAAGAGAACATTGACATTGACCAGAAATGTTCTAAAATAAAATTTTATTTTTACATGTCAAATTTCTTTTTCTCTGGAACTGGTTCGGGTTCTTTTTTCTTCTTCTTCTACTTTCTTTTCTTTCTTCTTTCTTTCTTCTTCTTTCTGGTGGAGTTATGTCAAATTTGGCGCAACTATATTTATGTAAAATTCTTTGTCCTTTAATAGCTCATCTATTCTGTTTTCTATTTCATCTTCAAGAACAGCGCATGTGTCTTCTTTGCATTCTAAGAAATTTTTGTTGGACTTCATCTTTCCAAGAGGCGTCATCTCTGTCAACAAGTCTGTCATTTGACAAATTTTAAGACTGCTCTGCTTAATGTTTTATGGTTTTGTCATATTCCAGAAACAGAACTTTAGAACAAATTCACCTTTCTTGTTTACACTATGTAAGATTTTATGGTCGACAGATGTTTTGCTGTCAAAAAGCTTGTCTCGAATATAGATAGCGAAATCGCTAGACATTTTCTAAAAGATTAAAATTTTAATTTTTCTAAAAATATGTTAGAAAAAAAGTTTGCTGACATTGACAAGAAATTTGAGAATGTTTTAAACAAGAACAAGAGGAAGTTAGAAAATGCTCAGATAAAGCCTATACATGAAAAATTCTTATTTGCTCAGAATGGTATAACAGGTCTAATTGCACCACCTGGGTCGGGTAAGACTTTCACTTATCTTAAAATGGCTGCACAACAACAAGAACTAGATGAGAAGAACCCATTCTATCCGAATTTTCATGCTCTTTTCTAACCTCTTTTCTACCCTCTTGAATTTTCATGAAATTTACACCAAAAATATATTTTAGGTGAAGAGGTGAGATATAACCTGTTTTTTCACCTAATTTTTCACCTCTTGAATTTTCATGAAATTTACACCAAAAATATACTACTAGGGTCATTTACGAAGAAATCTCAACAAAGTCTTTACGAAGAAATCTCAACAAAACATAGACAAGAAAGTTCATGAGAAATTAGATGAAGAAGTCTTAACAAAGTCTTTACGAAGAAATTCATGAAAAATTCAAGGGTAGAAAAGAGGTTAGAAAAGAGTTATATCTAACCTTCTACCCTAAAATATATTTTGGGTCATTTACACTCATTTACGAAGAAATCTCAACAAAGTCTTTACGAAGAAGTCACAATAAAACATCTGTCAAAAACCGCTTTTTAACTTCACTTAAATGCCACGTAAGCTACGTAAGAATATACGAAGAGGAAGAGAGCATTGAAACATCCAATAGTAAGACTGACACCACCAACAACAGTTGCAACAACAAATGCTGAATGACCCCACTATGTTTTGCAACAAATGTCAAGCAATCCTTATGCTTTTAACCGGTTGGTGCACAGAGTGGGGTTTTAAGAGCGGCACTTTTAGCGAAAATGGCAGGCTATGGTGGAGCTGCAGACGGAACAGTCTATAACCCTCAAAGTCAAATGAATTTGAGTTCACTCAAAAATCAAATATCAGATGTCAAAAAGTCAAACATAGACATACAGAAACAAATAAGTGAAAACGAAAAGAAACTAGAATATGACAGACACACAAAAAAACTCAATGAGTTAAACGTAGAGAAAAAGAAGAAAGAAGAACAACTGAAAGAACTAAGTACAGAGGAATATGCGAAAAAGTGTCAGAAAAAGCAGCAGAAGTAGCAAAAATGGAACAAGATGTTGTAAATTTGAAAAACCATACTACTCAATATAAAGTACTGAAAGATGAAGAGATAAAACAAAAAGCCCTGAAGACATATATGGATAGCGATGAGTATAAAAAAGAAGTTGAAGCAAATGTAAAGGCAGAAAAACTTTTACAGTTGCAAAACCAAACCGTACAGTATGAAAACTTAGCACAAGAAAGTAAAAATAACGACGCAGCCATGCAAAAGGCAATGAAAAGCGCAGAATATATAAAAGCTAACAATGACTGGTTAGATGCCCAAGCCAACGCTAAAGCAGCCCAACTTATAGGGTCAATAAGGACAAAAATACAAGCGGATGAAGACAGTTCAAATGAAGCTTTAACAAATGCTGACTTTAAGAACGCCTTCGAAGCTCTTCATAGTAAGGTGAAACAAGTGAACGACTTCTCATCTGGAAAGAAACTGAAGTCTGAAGGTTTCGACAAAGAGTTAAGAGAAGTAGCACAAAATCTGACGAAAATAACAGATGCAACAACGAGACAGGCAGTTCAAAGTGCCTATGACGCCGTTAGAGCAACTGTTGTGGAAAGTCAAGAAAAAGAGTTACAACAGACCAAAACAGACCTAGTAAATGCTTTCTTAAAAACGAAAAGTCAGGTAGGACATTATGCTGCAGATGGAACATATGTGCCAGCTGGTGGAACTTATATACCAGCTGGTGGAACTTATATACTAGCTAGTGGAACTTATATACCACCAAACCCTCCAAGAGAAGCACCTGCACCAGGACTACCTAAAACATTTACATCGTCACATGGACACAGACACAGGCATGCACCACAACAACAACCAAAACCAACAGTTCAAAATCCAGCACAACAACAACAACCAGCACAACAACCACCTCCACAACCAGCACCACAACCAACAGTTCAAAACACTGCACCACAACAACCACAAACAGAGCAAGGACATAAAAGAAGTAGAGAACAAGGAAACCAAGATTTCTTAAAAATGCTTAAAGAAGACTATGGTTACCCAGATACTCTTGACTTTAGTGACAGATATAAAGAAGCTATTAGAAAGTTCAAGGAAGGAAATACTGACCCGAACCTATTTAGCTTTATGGCTCAGCACCAAATGGGATATAATTTCAAACCTGGAAAATACAAGCTCGCTAAGGGATATGATTTAATAGCATATCATCCAAATGACATGACTGAATTTACTCCGAGATATTTGGTGTCAGAGCTAAATGACAATTCAACTCTCTTCATGAAACGCGTAAAAAATAAAGACGGAACGAAAGAAGAAAGGTTTATGAGTCCGGATGACTTAGATAGGGAACTTGTTAAAAACGGTCTCGGAATATATGAAATGCCAGCAGATGAGGTACAAGAAACTCCACAGGAAGAAGTTCAGATACAACCAGACATGGAAGAAATAGTTCAGCAACAACAGCTAGAAGAGCCTGAAGGAAACGAACAAGTCCCTCCTTTGGAAACTAACTTCACAGAACCAGATGAAGATTTGGAACAGCCGAAAAATCTTGACCCTCAACAAGAGTATGAGGTGAATATGGAATCTTTCCAAGAGTCTAAAAAAAATTCGGCTGACATGGTAGAAGAATATCGAAAAATGTTTGCCGACATACAAAAGACTCCAACACCAGATGAAAATATTCAGCATAGAATGGAAGTACTGAAAGAAAATGTACACAAATACAACAACCCTTTTTACTTACGAGCATATAACGTTCAATCTTTGGCTGAACTCGGTGAAAATAAAAGGTTAAATTTCAACAAAACATATAGAAATGAAACATTGTTTAAAGTTCATTCAGAACCTAACCAAGATGGAAACAAACCTACTTTTGTTTCTGCAGACTATGGAACTACAATGAGATGGGGTCATAAAGCTAACCCGGATAGGTGGTTCATAAACTTACAACCACAATTCCAAGAAGTTGTAGACGCAATGGAAGTGAATGGTGAACCAGATTTAGCTGGTATTTTCAGCGCGGCTTTAATGCCATTGAAAGATATGAAAGATGCAGATATTTTGGACCAGTATGAAATGAACATGGCTGATGGAAATATAACACCTGACGTTCTAGAACATTTATCTCAAAGAACTACACAGAACCATAAAGATGGTATATTTGGTGAAGAGTTTAGAAAGAAAGTTAGGGAAGAGAAGGAAGAGAACCTATTGTACATGACCTTGCAAACGAAAGTTTACAAAATGTCATAAAAACTTACTTTGCAGACAATGAACCGAGAAGGGATGAATATTTAAGAAAACTCAAATGGACAGTACCAAATGAAATGTTAGTATTGAAAAACATGTTCCTTGACAAAATAAAACCAACTACAGAAATAAATGACGCAAGACTGAAACGTTGGGTAAAAGCTTTCCCATTCACAAAAGATATTGTTGGTAACATGGAAAGAAAACCAGAATGGCTACAAAAACATATATTTGGAAACGAGCTTATTCCATATGGACAAGCTCTGTTTGAAGAGCTTGAACCGGAAACTCAGGAAAGAGTCATGCAAACAATACGCGAAGACTCAAATACAAACTATGACAAAATCTTTCTAGGATATAGGTTACCTGAGATGGGCGACCAGAGCCCAAAGGCAAAAAGGACATGGGAAATTTACAACATACTAGGTGAACATGAGGCAAAGATGCAACAACTTGAAGCAGAGGGCAAGTTAAAAGCGACACCAAAGAAGAAGAGAAGAGTAGAACAAAGTGAAAGTAGTGAAAACAAGTGAAAGTAGTGGCAATGAAGGAAAAAGAAGAGTTAAAAACTCAGTCAGGAAGAAAGTAAAGCTTGGTCCACGTGGGTTCTATTATGACACATAAATCCAACTATTCTATATTTTTACCCATATGAAATGTACGCCGCTCAGAATATAACGCCAACAGTTTTGGATGCCATGAATGGAAATGTTTCCGAATGGTATAACGAATGCGACAATGCCATTAGAAGGTCAGAAATAGTTCCTGGAACTTACGAATATACAACTGCTGTTTCTTATGGAAACGTAGGTGAGTTTGGTGAAGGTTCTTCAACAACAGTAGATATTGCTTGCGACAGGTTTCATATAATTTCTATTGACAACTCATTCTTATACGTGGAACAAGACATTGAAATAAAACCTTCTACCAAGTTGTCTGACAAGAAAGGTTGCAATGGAATTTTCTATGTCGGATACCAATATGCTCCAGAAGTTTTCATGGGATATAAGATATATTCTAACTCTGACTTAGTTCAAACAGTAACATGGGCAAACTATGAATGGTTCGCTTTAAGAAACTCAGTACAACCACAAGCTAGAGAACAAACAGACCAGTATGCAACTATTGAGAAAATAAGAAGACTTGACCCTAACGTTCCAGGAGTTTATGTTAACCTTTCTGGTTCAGATGGAAATGCTGTCACTAAAGTAAAACTGAAACTTAGAGTTCCTTTGTCATCTTTCCTCATCTTCAGGTTTTTAAGATACTTGCCAAACTGGGCAGGAAAAATTTCTATTGAACTTACTCCAAGCAAAAATAACTTAGTCATTGCACCAACGCAAGACCCATTCACTCTTACAGACGTAAAGGGAGCAAATCAAACGTCATTCGCCGAATTTTGCAAAGACAAAGTTGACTTAGACTTTGGTTTCTCAAACCTCAACACTGAAGTAAAGTATTATTTCAATGCTGCTGGAACTGCTTGGGACCCAGTTAGGTTTACATGCGAACAGTTTGAATGCAAGAGAATAGAAAGCAGACTTGCAGTCTATATGTTGGACCCAGATATTTCAAATGCTTTAGCTGCCAAATATATTGCAGTTCCACTTATGTTCCCTATACACCAAATATCTGTCAAAGACTTTGCAGGTGAAGTTGGAAACCAAAATCCAGGAACCGCAGGTGCAAGAACAGATATTGCTTTAACAACTGCAATGAAACACGCAGATACTATGTTTGTACTGTTCAGACGAACTATAAATGACTATTCTTGTTTCTACAACCCCGGTATTAAATATCATATAAACATAGATGGCAAATATTATCCAAGAGAAGAATATTCTACAGTTGAGGATATGAGGTCATACAACTTGACATTAGATGCTATGAACTTTAACAACAACTTCACAACAACCATTAACCCTGAAATGCAAAGTTCTATTATGCCATATGTGAAAGTATGGACCATACAGGAAGTCAAAAAACTCAATATACAAATGGAGACCGTTCAAACTTTTGGCTTGGCATTCCATTTGCTGACTCAGAAGACTTTATGGGTGGTATTTCAACTGTTGGTACTGTACAAATACAATATACTGGTGACAGAGACGGTCCATATGAACTGAGAGCAAAGAAGTTTACAAAACCAATAGCACTTTTCACGGAAGATGCTCTTTTGAAGATTCGTTCGATGAAACCTGCTGGGGCTCCTCAGATTGGCATAACGACAGCTTCCATCGAGCAGATTTTGGCAGCAGGTCAGTAAGTTGTTCTTGAACTGACTTCTCTCCGTCAAATATTGACAGTACGCCAGTTTTGACATAATATTGTATTATAAACTTTCCTTTAGAAATATCTGTAAGTTTTTGTTATATTTTTGTCTGCTTCAAGAACTTTCACCATTTCAGTTATACCAACTTTCTTTGCTTTATGAAAATATTTTGGTTCAGCAAAGACTGCTATTCTATAACATTTTCCATTGTTTGTGTAAAGAACTATTCTGTCAATGTATTTGTATTGTTTGTGTGTAAACTTTGTTCTGCTTCAATTCGAAGAGATATCCGAATACGTCCATCTTTTTATTCTAAGTAAAATGTCATTTCCGAAAAATAGAAGCGTAAGTGTTTCAAAAGGTTTAATGGCGGTGGCAGATGTGAAGTTAAATTCACCAACTCAAACAAACAGTCAAAGTGTTATTGTCAATGTCAAAGAAGAGATGTTGAAGTGGGGAAACCATACGAAGACGAAGATGGTATAACAATTGTTCCTGTAAAAGAACAACCAACATACCCTGAAGTTAGCAGAGACTTAAGTTCTGTTGCAGATATTCGAAACGACTACCAACAACTGAAAGACAAACTTCAAACTCAGGAGAAGATTTGTCAAGCTTTAGGTATAATGTTAAACTTGGTCGAACACAACCCTGTAAAAGTGAACTCATATGTCATTGCACCTCATGAAGTTTTGAAAGAACTATTGAAACTTTTGACAGAGGCAGACGATATAAACATCAAAGAAATAGAACCCGACGTTAGTTGCTGTGGTGTTTCATATAATGTCATTGACAAGATATACGTTATGAAAGGAGGTGAAACGTTGAACTTAAAATATAGTTTCCCAGACGTTATAAAAATATTTGACGACCACAACATTTCATTAAAATTTATTTGCTAAGTAAATGGCAGAAGACACAATGGTTTATACTATTACGACTAAAAACCCTGAGTCATATAATTCTATAACAACAAACTTACAAAGTCCTCAAGGACGATATTGTAAACTAACCTTAAACACAATGACGACTAAAGCCTGTTTTGCTCTTTTGACACCAGAAGATTTTATTGTTGTGAATGGTAAAAAATACTCCTTTGAAGATACTTACTCAGATATACCACCAACAGGTTTTGTTGACTTATTTAATACTTTAAGGACGAGTGTAACATGTGCTGCAACTAGAGCAGGTTTCATTATGTTTGGATGTCCGACTGAGTTTACTATAAACAATATGAGCTATAATACAAAACTTATATCTGGTTTTTACTACCAACAGTTTCCTATAACAGGAAAAGGTGTCATACAAGGAATGTCTATTCCATTGACTTTAAGCACACCTATTTTATATATTGTTTCAAACTTAGGTTCAAAGTGTTATTCGAATGTCGACAGAAACTACTATGACCAAAAGATACTTATGCGTATAAATAACACATTCTCTGCTGGTTTGCCTATTGTTCATTCGAATGCAGAGTTTTCAGCTTTAGTGAACTCAAACACTTTGGCAAGTATAAACTTAACCTTAGTTGACGCAAACTTTGTTCCTGTA